GTTTATATTACCGGTCTGAAATTTAACGATTTCGGAAATACATTAATGATATTTAATCAGGTCTGAGATGCTATATATTTTAAAACCCATCTAATTAAACGCTTTTTAGTCAATTATATTCATGTAGTCTTGCATAACGTAAAAAAAATAAAGTGACGAAAACATTCAAAAACAGGTGAGAACTCTTTTCACTCTATTTCGTTGTTTTTTCTCACAATCATATCAATATGCCTCAGGTTTCTATTCAATTTCATATAGCCTTGCTTCTCAAAAGTATTCGAAATTGCAGTCTATCATGTGTGAGAATACCTTTAGGGAAGTAAAGGTATGCGAAAGTGAATGGAAACATGAGGCCTGTTCATATGGTTGTGGGAATATTCAACTACCAGTACCTTATCACTTTAAAGAAATAGGGTGAATACACCCGTATATATTATCTACCGGTCGTCTCAAAAAAACCTACTTGAAAATGAAAATCAAAAGTGGTCTTTTCTGATAAAGCAGTAATTGAAGTTTAATTTTAAGTGGAATTAATTGCATGTTGAATGGCTCACTGAGGTCCGCACCAATAGCACATGCCTATTTCGAAAGGCTTCCTTTCGACTAGCTTGTCACCAAGTTCTTGTTGGCACGTGCTAAAGAAGTGGCCTATGACCTCAAAATATTATTAGTTGGCCTAGTTGGCTGCCCATCCATTTAGTTCCCCCCCCCCTTTGTCGGTCAGTCTATGTCTCACTTCATACATCTCCCATCGTCTTCCTTACAGGCGTTTCTACGAGGCAATAGGGCGGCGAGTCAAGATGGCACACGACTACATCTGTTTACCCCCATTGCGTGCCTCGTTCACAATGCGGTATGCTGGTTGTGAACGTAGCGATGGCGTATATGACGAGAGTTGGTCATTTTACGTGTTGAGAAAGATTTCAGGAGGAGGATTAAGAATTGCTAAAGGCTGGCGAGTGAATTAAGTAAGAACTGGCCAGGAGGCGAAAGCAAATTGGACATTGAGGCTAGGCGAATATATTGAAGGATTGGCCTCAGCCGAAACTGAGAGGATATGCCCACTGCGGACGTCGGGACAGAAGCAGAGGCAAAAATTAATTCCTTTAATGACCGGGATCTCTAGCTCAGGCATGCAGCATCTGCAGCCCATGCCCTCACGACACCATAAACCACCGTCATTGACCAGGTTAACATTGGTCATTGGAGGGGTGGAGGATTGCTTGCGTGAGTTGTGAATGACTGATTTAGAATCTACAGCATGGCTCGGAGGCTGACTAGATTGGTCGAGTTGAGTGTCCGGCTGGTTGCTAGGACGATCGTGTGGACAGGCCGGTAGAGTGCGATTTTGGGACGCGGCTATCCAGTCTGATAGTATAACATAGCTGAAGCTTTTCTCGTGAAAAATTCAAGCTGATACTGTTAAACGTTAAATGAGAAGAACATGCGCAAGAATCTGTCTTTATGGGAAAGCTAGCAAACGCTAGTAATAGCATAATTCAAGACCATGATGGTACAGTATTTAAGCAATAGAATGCAGTCAAAGAGCAAGAAAAGTGAGATTCAAAACCCAGTTCGAAGATGGCCAATAGTGTACACAGCCATTGTGATGTTGGGCTACAAGACAGCAAAATAAAGATACATTCTATTTTCAGGGGGGATATAGAGTTTACGCAAGCATACTTTTCTCAATTACTTTGACTAGTCAATCAAGGAGTCTAGATTTGATAAACTATAAAATAACTTGACCAAACTAAAAGTGAACTAAAACTCGTTTATAGGCTCAGAGATCATTTCCATTTCCACTGAAAATGAATAAGGGGATTTAAAGGTCAGTCTCATTAAAAGAAAAGAAACTTGGTTTCGATGAATCTCCTGAGATAACATTGTTAGGGGGACCTTCATTTCGAATGAAAG